AGAATAATGGAACCCATTAAAAATTGTAAAAGAAAAAATAAAGGAACAGCAAATTATATGCATGTACAGAAATATCACAATGGAACCCATTTGTACAATTAATATATACTAAAAAAAAATGGGGCTGGGAATCTCACTCATAGTACTTGCTTATAGCATGCTCAAAGCCTTGGGTTTGATCCCCAACACTTCAACAAAGATAGATGATGATGATGAGATAGATAGATTAGATGATAGATAGATAGATAATTTCAGGGATGTCACATTTCTTCATTTTATAGTTGAAGTTATTGGACTAAAAACAGAAGTTTCAAGTTAGCAAGATAATTTCAGTCTGCAAATAATTTTTGTTTAGTGTTCAAAATATATTATCTTAAAAATTCAGATTTTGCTGTTTTGGAAAAACAGACCTGGCAATTTCACAGCTGCTATTGGGGAACTCAGTAGTAGCTCCAGCTGGGGGTGAAGTAGGCAGCTCCATAGCCTCAGCCACCCAGCAATGATATTTGCTTGCCATGGCTAGACTAGAAGGAGTCTTAGTGGTGAGGCAAGGGTTCCAACCAAAGCAGAGTCCCCTTTGAGGAGGGACTGTCCCTTCAGAACCAGGCATGGTGGTATGTTCCTATAGTCCCAGCACTCAGGAGGTTGAGGCAGGAAAATGGCTGGAGCAACATAGTAAGATCCCATCAAAAAAAAAAAAAAAAAAGTCGGGCACGGTGGCTCACCCTTGTAAATCCTAGATACTCAGGATGCAGAGATCAGGAGGATCACAGTTCGAAGCCAGACCAGGCAAATAGTTTGTAAGATCCTATCTCAAAAACACCCATCACAAAAAACGGACTGGTGGAGTGGCTCAAGGTGTAGGCCCTGAGTTCAAACCCCAGTACCACCAAAAAAGAAAAAAAAAATTCCTTTAAGAAAAATGCCTAGATTCAATATTTAATTATAAACAAAACAGACATTAGTGGTTTAGGATTATGAAGCCTAGTATGATGTTTGATTCTCAGCTAAAACAAAACTTTAATAGATTTTATGCTAAGTGATTTTAAAAACATCCCAAGTCAAAAAGCACTGATAACTATGAAGTATATACATTAATGTTCCTTCACTATCATCTCATTTTTCTTTTGAGCCTCACTATGTAGCCCAAGCTGGCCTGAATTTGTGAGCCTTCCACCTCAGCCTCCTAAGTGCTGGATTACACATGCAGAATCCAGGGCAGTTACTATCACATATCTTGCTAGGTGGAATTTGCACCTTGTGTTACAAAAAAATTAAAACAGAGCCTAGGAATAGTTTGACACTACTCCAGACAGGGTTTCAGTCAGCAGCAGCATCCACACCATATTTTCTTGTACTTTATACAAATGAAAGATTAAGATTGTTTGAACATCTTTACGTATTTTGGTTTCGTGACTTTTTTGTCACACACAAAAAAAGAAACCATGATAATATGTAAGCATTTGATTCTTTTATATTTATATATATATATATATATATATATATATATATATTTCTTTTTGTGTGTGTGTGTGTGTGGTACTGGGGTTTGAACTCAGGGCCTACGCCTTGAGCCATTCCACCAGCTCTTTTTTGTGATGGGTTTTTTCAAGATAGGTCTTACAAACTATTTGCCTGGACTGGCTTTGAATCTCGATCCTCCTGATCTCTGCCTCCTACGTAGCAAAGGCAGGAGATGTGAGCCACTGGCACCTGGCTTTTTTATTTTTTTTATTTTTGGCAGTACTAGGATTTGAACTCAGGGCCTTATTCTTGCTACATAAGTGCTCTATCACTTAAGCCATGCCTCCAGTCCAGGTCATTTGATTCTATATTGAATTTTTTCTCCCTGGCTACCCATTCAGCCATTTACTGAGCTATGATATCACTTTATTTCATATGATAAATGCCATCTGGTATAAATTTCCTTCTAGCAGAAAAGTGGAAGAGTTTTGGATCTGATAACACTTGGACCATTCAAAAGACCTCAGGGCTTTCATCATAACCCACCATTGCAAAAAACAGCTTGCTAGTGAGTACACAAGGGTATGCCAGGAATTTGGCAAAATTAGAAAATCTTCATCATGTTTACACACTACATGTGATCTGAACTCACTGAAGGTTGTCAACATCACAATAACAGCAGTTTCTTGGTGTTTCTAATACAAAATGATACAATATGGCATCACTCTTTCTTTAGTTCCTGGGTACTGGAGATTGAACCCAGGCCCTCGCACAGGCTGGTCAAGCACTGTGCCACTGAACTACACCCCTAGCCTGTTGCTCGTTCTTATCTTTCTATTCTTTCTGGTCCAGTCCATCAGATGGTTGACCTTTGGTGAGAACACCTTCTTCTTTCCCTTGGCCAGGATTGTGTGGGAACCCCATGAGCCATGAACACCAGTGCCACCACTATGGTACAAAAGTTTGCAAAAAAAAAAAAAAAAAATGCCATGGGGAGGCTGAGGAAGGAAGAGGATTGTGAGTTTGAGACTAGCCGGGGCTACAAAGTCAGACCCTGTCTCAAAAAAAAAGGAAAAAAATACTCAATGGTGAAAGAAGTTTTGTGTCAGGAAGGCAGGGAGGGGGAAGAGAGATTAATGAGTGCTACAGTAAAACAAAGGAAAACTAGGGTTGGGGAATGTTACCTGGAGACCAGAGGAGGGTCACCTCGCCCCCCCCCCCCGAGGTTAAAACACCCAATGAAATAACATGTTATTATGTATGGGACAAGCTGTATCCCCCCCACTATTTCTGTAACCTGCTCTACATGGTATACAAGGAAAGCCCGCTTTGTTCTCAGTGCTCAGCCTTTGGACTGGAGTCCACTGAGTCGCTGCCAGCTTACTAATAAACTTGCTTCCTGAAAGGTTTGGTGCCCTCTCAGTCTCTTTCTGAGCCATCCTATAACAGTTTGGGAAACAGTGCTTTGTTGTTTTTGTTTTTGTTTTTTCCAGTACTGGAGTGTTTGAACTCAAGGCCTACACCTTGAGCCACTCCATCAGCCCTTTCTTGTGAAGGGTTGTTTTGAAATAGGGTCTTGGGAACTATTTGCCCCAGCTGGCTACCAACCACAATCCTCCAGATCTCTGCCTCCTGAGATAGCTAGGATTACAGGAATGAGTCACTGGGGGCCCAGCCCAGCCTCAGTCTTTCTGATGAGCTTAGAGACTGCATTTCTAGCCCTGCTGACAGCAGGGGTGCCCCCACAAGCAGCTCCAACTTCTTATAAGCCAACCTTATTCCCCGCACACCAAGTCCTGGTGTCTCCACCTTTCCTCCTCTGTTAGCAATGACACCATCCTGCCTACCCTGAGGTTCCAAAACTGTGGGGCTCTTCCTGCACTTCTGTTTCCTTCAGCCATCAAATCTGACCTTGGCCCCTGGGACAGATTGCCTGCCGTGTAAATCAGGCTCTACTACTTCTGGGCTATGTGACCCTGGGCATGCTTTTCACTGTTCTGTGCCTCAGTTTCCTCATCTGCAAGATGAAAATGGGATCCTTCTGCAAAGCCCTCAGGACAGATCCCAGAGGGCCAGCCTGTTTTCCTCTCTACATGCAGCAGTGTAGAGGGCACAGGGAACATGACATCTGGGTTTCCATCCTTGCTTCAAGCATTATGCATCTCTCCTTACCTGTGAAAATGGGAATGCCTAGCTCACCTATTCTATTTGTTGGAACATTTTTCCAAGGCTGGGACACAATTAGGTGACAAGGCACACTTGAATTTTCTCTCTCCCTCTCTCTCTCTCTCTCTCTGTCTCTCTCTCCCTCTCTCTCCCTCCTTCCCTCCCTTCTACCTCCTCCTCCTCCTTCTTCTCTTATTTTCTTTTTGTAAAGAAATTATTGGTTTGGGGGCGGTGCTTCTAATACTGCTCTTTCTCCCGGGTTGTGCTGTTCCCATCGCGCTTCCTTCTTGTATGCCTTCCAGCATCCCTGCTGGGCAAGACCGGATGGAAGGTATGCGTTAAATAGATGCCCAATATATATCATATGCATTTCTATAATGATGTCAAATATACATCCATGTCTGGAAGACCTGGAAGGGGTGTGAGGCGAGCGAGAGACGTTCACTCTTCCTATGCGCTGTTCACTTTTTATTCCCAACGATGCGTAGCGTTGGTCTATATTCGCGTTCAGTCTGAGTCCCCCTGAACCGCCCTCCCCCCTCACCCCGGCCCCTGCTCTCGATCGCCTCCCTCCAGCACCTCCCTCCAACCGGCACCTGGCAGTTGCCAAACTCCGGCCCAGGTGACAGCGCGGGGGCGCAGGTGACGCCGCGGGGAGGGGGCGGTTGCCCAGCGACCGCAGCGCCAAACAACCGGAGCTGGAAGGGAGAGGAGGTGAGAGGAGCGGGCAGCTGGGACGACGGGGCGCACCCCTAGGTCGTCCTCCTAACTCCGAGCCAGAGCCAGGGTACTGACTGAACACCAAATGATGATCCTATGCAGGGGAGGGGATCTGCTGGGCCTCAGATTTAATCCCAACTCCTCCTACCCAAGCCCCTTACTCCTGCTCCTCCTCCTCCCACCCAGGGCAGGACCAGGGGACCAGCGCCCTCCTCACCCAGCTGCCCGGTGCAGTCCCTGCACTGGTCACACAGACCCTGGAGAGGAATCAGGGCTCCTTCTCCTACATCCCCAACCTGCCTGGCCCACAGCAGAGAAAGAGTGAAACGAAGGCTCAACTAGAGTGCTTGGTAGAAGTAGGGTGGAAGCTGAATTAAGGGTCACACACACACACACACACACACACACACACACAGGGACTCCATCCCCTCTTTATCTGCTGCAGCACCTGCAGGCTCCACAGCTTCTTGCCTGTGGTGGACCGGCAGAGAGGAAATCTACCTAAAGCCTCATGCAAAATTGAGCTCCATCAGGCTCTTCCCAGTAGGCTTCCTGCAGGAAGAGGCTTAGAGCAAAATGGACAGGAGTGTGGCCCCTGAAAGGGGCATTCGAGCCAGGACACAGTCCACTCAACCTTGCTTTCACTCTGCAGGTGGCGTCTTGGAACAGGGCTAGGAGTTTTGAACTCTTCGCGCCTGAGTCATGGCGACATTGAGTGTCAAGCCAAGTCAGCGCTACCAGCTGCCTGACTGGCGCATCAACAGCTACCTGTTGTCCACCAATGCCGAGCGGCAGAGAGATGCTTCCCATCAGATCCGCCAGGAGGCCCGGGTCCTCCGCAATGAAACCAACAATCAGGTTGGGGACCAGAGCTCAGTTAGGTGGACTAAGGGATAGCCCCCACCCAGTCACAGACACCCTCTTTATCTGGCTCTGACTCTTCCAGACCATTTGGGATGAACATGACACTAAGACTCGACTGGCAGAGAGGATTGACACCATCAACCGGTGGAAGGAAATGCTGGACAAGTGTCTGACAGACTTAGATGCTGAGATTGACTGCCTGGCACAGGTAGGGGGAGCTGGGGCTGAGTGCCAGGACACTCTGCTGCAAAGATCTCTCCTCCTGCCCCACTTCCAGCTCTGGGAACCCTTGATGGGGCCTGGGCCCCTCCTCTAAAGTGGAGATAATTGCAACCTCCTAACACATGGCCACCCCACCAGCCCCCTGCACCCCTCTTTTCTAGATGAAGGAATCAGCAGAGCAAAACCTGCAGGCCAAGAACCTGCCTCTGGACGTGGCCATTGAATGTCTGACCCTGCGGGAGAGTCGGCGAGACATTGATGTGGTAAAGGACCCTGTGGAGGATGAGCTGCTTAAAGAGGTGGAGGTCATCGAAGCCACCAGGAAGGTCTTGCAAGAGAAGATTAGCCAGGCCTTCGAGCAGCTCTGGTGAGGCAGACACATGCCCAAATGCACTTGGGACTTCATGTCTTGAATATGGAACAGGCTTTATGGGTAATGAGGAACTGGTTCCCATGCTACTTTTGTCCCTCCCATGCCCCTAGCACAAACCACTAATTGGCTATAGCACTTAATCCATTCCCTGGACACCAAGGGACCCTGCTGTAGACAGCTCTTTTTCTCCCTTGGTGGAAGTATGCAAGTTGACCCCACTTGCTACCACCCTGAAGGTCTTATCACGAGTGTGTATGTGAGAGCCTTTGTGATCGTGGCCACATACCCATGCCCCATGTGCGCGGGTAAACACTAGTTTGCACCATGTTGTCTGGGGGGGACCTCACCCCCCGTGCTGCTTTCTGTCTCTGCGACAGCTGCTATTCCAGCATCTTCCGCTGGGAAGTCATCCCAGCCTCCCTGCCCTTGGTGTCTCCACAGTACAATGAGGGCTGCATCCAGGGCCTGGGATGGTGGTTCCTGATCCAGTCTGCTATTTCTCCAGCCTCCTGCAAGAAGTCCGGCAGCAGCTCAACTCTGACCACCGAGGCAAAATGGAGACACTGGATATCGACAGAGGCTGTCTCTCTCTCGACCTCACATCCCCAAACATCTCTCTGAAGATCAACCCCACACGTGTCCCCAGTGGGTAAGCAGAGAGTTGCAATCAGTCTTTTCTGCATCTCTTAGAAGCCATACCTGTGACCCCATTTTTTCCTGCCACTGCAGCTCCACCACACTTAAGGAGTGGGATGACTTCAGTCAGTTCAACAAGAACCACGCAGAGGCTGAGATAAAAGCCGCCATGGAGCTGAGGGAGACTATCACCCTAACTATTGCTCAGGTAACTGAGCCCGAACCTGGATCTCCTGAGCCAGTGGACTGGCCCACATGTGCACTCAGCCATTACCTGTTATCCATGTGGCAAACTTTACCCCCCAGTTAAGCAGCATCCTAATAAGGACATGAGCTTATACCACTCCCCTTGCCTGGCCCCCTCCTGTCCTGCAGACCAACAATGAACTCGAATCCCAGAGGGTTGCAACAGAATTTGCCTTCAGGAAGCGGCTGCGGGAGATGGAGAGCGTGTACAGCGAGCTCAAGTGGCAAGAGAAGAACGTGAGCCTGCCCCTGTCCTGAGTCTCACTTTCTGCTGTGGGGCAAGACACCAGATGCCATGTCTGGAAGCCCTGGACTTGGGGCCCCAGCGCAAGTCCAGCGGGTGGAGACCAGTCCCTCTGTCCCTCATAGACCTTGGAGGAAATTGCAGAGCTGCAGGAGGACATCCGGCACCTGGAGGAGGATCTGCGCAGAAAGATAATGAACCTGAAGCTGGCCCATACCCGCCTGGAGTCCAGAACCTACCGGCCCAATGTGGAACTCTGCAGGGACCAGGTGCGAGATCTCCCAGTGGGCCTTTGCTAAGGCTTTCTCAAGAGCGCCCCCAGCACACATTCCTAGTTGAGCAAGTGTGCTGGCCCAGGGCAACCCTCAGGCCCCAGGGTGGAAGGACAGTTGGCTGACCTGGAACTCCCACCCCACCCCTCTGCCTCCAGGCACAGTATGGGCTCACTGATGAAGTCCACCAGCTAGAGGCAACCATCACCATCCTGAAGCAGAAGCTGGCCCAAACACAGTAGGTTTGAGGAGTGGACAGGAGGGGTGGGAGACACAGCCCACTCACAGAGGCCTCCCTCTGCTTGCTGGTTCCCCTGGGCTTGAAATTGGTGAGTGCTGCCCATTCCTTCCAGCCTCATGCAGGGTGTTGGGTTGTCACTGCCTCCTTCCCAGGGACGCTCTGGATGCCCTGTACAAGCACCTGGCCCGGCTGCAGGCTGCCATCGCCTGCAAGGCCAACTCCATGCTCTTAGACAAAAAGTGCATGGACACACGACGGAAGCTGACTGTGCCAGCAGAGAAGTTTGTGCCCCAGGTGGACACCTTCACCCGCACCTCAAACCGTCCCCTCAGTCCACTCACAACCTGCCAGCTGGAGCGAGCCTAATGTGAGGGGGTGGGGGCTGAAGGAAACAGAGAAGGTTGGGTGGGAAACAGAAGTGGGGGAAAGAGTGAACCTAATAAATACACATGGAGGTTCTCAGGCCAGGAAGTTCTCAGGAGGTTCTCAGGAGGTTCTCTTTCCCTGCTACCCCTGCACGTGGCTCCCCTACAGGGAGTGAGAGCGCCCTCCTGTGTGCTGGAGGGGTAAAGCCAGGCAACGTCACCCCCCTCAAACTCCAACAAACCAGTTCCTTCCCTCTTCTTGGGAATTCCTTTCTCTGGGCCAGGCCTGCACCCTCTGGGCATTACTGCTGGCCTCCACCCAGCTCTTCCCAGCTGGTGGCTTGTCTACCCTTTTGATGCCCAGGGGTAGCCCAGAAGTTAGGGTCACACAGGGAAGACTTGGGGAAGAGGTGGCCAAGGCCTGAGTGGGGCCAAGAGCTAGGGCTTCCCCGGGAGCGCTGGGAAGCAAGGATGCTCACAGTGGGGGCGGGGGAGGGGGCAGTGGCCTGGAGTGACCTGATAAGTATGGTTAAGTGGCCACCTTTCAGGAATCCTTTAGTGTCAGCCCTGCTCGGGAAACATTTACAATGGGGAGGTTGGACTGGGGAAGTGTCTCAAGTGGTAAAGCGCCTGCCTAGCAAGGCCCTGAGTTCAAATCCCAGACTGACACATTAAAAAAAGTGCGGAGGATGCGAACGCAAAAGCAAGGCTGGTGGGGACTGCGCAGCACCGCGACTCCAGGCCGCTGGGCGTGCGGAGCGCCGGGGCGCGGCGCGGGGTCTCCGGGCCACTAAGAGGCGCTGTGGGGCCGCGGAGACAGAGGGCAGCCGCGGCGGCGACGGCGGTAGCACCGGAAGTGGCGAGTGGCCTGCGCGCAGATGGCAGCGGCGGCAGCGGCGGCAGCGATGACGGCTGCGGGCGGTGGCGGGGCTGGGGCAGCCCGTTCCCTCTCGCGCTTCCGAGGCTGCCTGGCCGGCGCGTTGCTCGGGGACTGCGTGGGCGCCATCTACGAGGCGCACGACACCGTCAGCCTGACGTCAGTCTTGAGTCACGTCCAGAGCCTGGAGCCGGATCCTGGCACGCCGGGCAGCGCGAGGACAGGTGGGCGGGGCGGCCGCACGTGGTCCCAGAGAGGGTCCAGGGTGCTGAGACACAGGGGCGTGAGCGTGCGAACCCGGGTGCGCGTGGGGACGAGGCTGTCCTCGGGTGTCCTCAGGCGGCGGGCCGCATCGATGACCCGCTGGCGCTTGGGACTCAGCGTGCCCAGGCCCACGCCGCCTTCGCGTGTGTCGCCCAGAACTTGTGCAAACCTGGCCTGGCGTCGTGCTCCCGCGGTGCGCCTCACCTGGTGTGTCAAGTCGCCTGCCACCGTGGGAGAGGGCCAGTTCCCTCCGCCTGTCCCTCCCGGCCCGCCGCGCCCGCGTCTCCAGCTGCCCCTCTCTGGGTCTGGCTCTCTCTGGTCCCTCGCACGCCATTCCTGCCCGGCCCAGGCGTTTGCGTGCGCTGTCCCTTGCCTGGAAGGCTCACCACCCGGATCTCAGCCCGGATGTCAGCTCTGAGGTCGGGCGGACGATGTGATGCTTCTTGGCGCGCATGTAGAAGAGTCAGAAAAGGTCGTTGTCAGAACCCTGTCACGATCCCCTCCCCTGTGTAAGAGACACTTAGAAGTGAGCTAAGGAGAAGCAGGAGGGGGAGCAACAAAACCTAAGGAAGCAATTGCAAGATGAAGACACTGGTCACTGGCGTCCTGCTAGAGAGGTTTAATAGGGGGAAGTCTGCACGTAGTAAAGCGGGGCCAGGGTTGAGGAAATGGAAAATGCAAGGGTCATTTGGGTGTGCAGGGAAGGACAGAGATGAACAATAATGCCCCAATGAAAGTCCCAACTTGCGTCTCACTGGCCTGGTCCTACGCCTGTCCCTAAACAAGGGATGGGTGTGCTGCCTGATTAGGCAACTCTATGCCCAGTCATGTGGACTGGGACTGGAGAAGAGTGGCTCCCTGGGGAACAGCAGGGTGCATTGGTGAAAGAGATGCTGTTCCCAGGCACAAGGCACGGTTGAGAATCCGGGGAAGAGAGGTGAAGGAAGAGCAAGGCCCCTTGGGAAATGGACTAGGGTGGCCTTCACCTTGGACTGGGGGAGCACAGAAAGTGCAGGTATGGGTAACGAGCTGCCAACCACTGTTGCAGGGAAGTAGGAAGTGAGGGCCACTTAAGAGTGAAAGCGGAAGGAGCCAGGGGTGGGCTGACTATGCTGTGTGTGGAATGGGAGAGGGGCCTGCTACGGAGACTCCTTCATTCTCTGTAATTGTCTCTTCTCAGACCAGACCAACTCCCTATTCCTTGCAGGCATTAAACAGTCTATTTGTTCCACCTAAGAAGCACCAGAACATAGCCAGAAGCGCGAGTATTTGCATATAATTCCAGCAACTTAGTGAGGCCAAGGCAGGAGGATTGTGAGTTTAAGGCCAGCCTGGGCAATTTAGTGAGACTGTGTCTCCAAAAAAACAAGTGTCTGAGCGATGGTCACAGGCAGCCAGAGAGAAAAGAGATGGATGGGGTGGAGGGACTAGCAGCCTCTACCGGAAGGATGCGACCCAAGTGCCAGGATTGGTTCGAAACATGTTCAAGGGAGCAGTAAGATAGGAGGGTGAGAAAGGAAGAGGCCAGGCTGGGAAGGGTTTTGAAAGCACCAGCTAGCCATTTTAAGCAACCGAGTGAAAGGAAGAGGGTAGGAATTTTCCGGCTGCACATATGGGCTGTGTTGGAGATGGAGAGCTGTAGAAGATGGGAAGGCTCTGCCTGTAGCCCAAGCAGCTCATGTTGAGACTGGAGCTGCAGTGATGGCAGCCAGAAAGGGCTGGAAGGTTTTCCTTCAGAAATCAGCAAGACATGGTAACTAACTTGCAATAAAGAATTGCTGAAAATCCCAAGGCTGGAATCTGGAGGTTTCCTAGAGCCCAGAAGCTGGAGTGGATGAGAAGCTGACACAGGGCCATGGTATATGTGGTGCCTTTGTGAGGAAAGAGCAGGAGCCTCTACCCCTCGCCAGCCGCCTGCTCTCACCCACTGCCCTCTCCCCACAGAAGCACTGTACTATACAGATGACACAGCCATGGCCAGGGCCCTGGTGCAGTCCCTGCTGGCCAAGGAGGCCTTCGACGAGGTGGACATGGCTCACAGGTGAGGGGATGGTCCTGAAATGAAGCAAATGGGCAGGCAGAGTCACCGTGCCCTTCCACAGAGGAATAATGTCTGTGCATGCTTAGGACCCCTGCCCCTCCACAGGACCCTTTTCCCAGCTAATGGTGGCACTGCTAGCATTAGGTCTCCAGGGCCACCTCTCCAGCCTGAGCCCACCCTTTTTTCTCAGCCCTGAGAAGCATCTTTGAAACCCCGTTCTGCCTTCCTTCTCCTCCCTAGGTTTGCCCAGGAGTACAAGAAGGACCCTGACAGAGGTTATGGGGCAGGAGTCATCACCGTCTTCAAGAAACTCCTGAGTCCCAAGTGCCACGATGTCTATGAGCCTGCCCGGGCCCAGTTCAACGGAAAGGGCTCCTATGGCAATGGGGGTGCCATGCGGGTGGCAGGCATCCCCCTGGCCTACAGCAGCATCCAGGATGTGCAGAAGGTATTGGGCGGGTTGACTACTGGGCTCCACCACCTCATCTGCAGTCGTGTCCTGACAGCAGCTCCTCCTCTCTCCAGTTTGCCCGGCTCTCAGCCCAGCTGACCCACGCATCCTCCCTGGGTTACAATGGTGCCATCCTGCAGGCCCTGGCCGTGTACCTGGCTCTGCAGGGTGAGTCCTCTAGTGAGCACTTCCTGGAGCAGCTTCTGGGCCACATGGAGGAGCTGGAGGGGGATGCCCAGTCAGTACTGGATGCCAGGGAGTGAGTATGGGCTGGAGGCAGGGCTGAGGGTGGCCTAAGTTTGCAGGGCAGGGGGGTAGGGGTGGGGAGCATCTGGCATCACCAGAAAATGAAAGCTGCCTTCTTTCTTTGCTGACCTTAGGGTGGGTGCAAACCCCTTTGCCTTGGCTGGGTTTCAGGGCTCTCAGGGTCCCCCAGAGAACAAAGTGATCTGTTCACACCCAGCCCTATCCCACTCCTGTCAGGGCACCTGTGCCTGGGTAGGAGCCTGATGCTTCCCTGTTCTGTCTCACATGAGGCCCTTCCCCTGCCCATCTCCACCTGCTGGCTCTGACTTCCCTGAAATCTCTCCCAAACCCCCAGGTTGGGTATGGAGGAACGTCCATACTCCAGCCGACTGAAGAAGATTGGAGAGCTGCTGGACCAGGACTCAGTGAGCCGAGAGGAAGTGGTGTCTGAGCTAGGTGGGTGGACCCGACTGATCTGTTCCCCACAGTCCTTCAGGGCTAGTCTTGGACTCAGGGCAGGGAGGGGAGCATGGAGGTGTGCCCTGGGCTGCTGTGACAGCCGGAGCCCCTCAGTGGCCCAGAAGGAGGAGCTGGTTGCCAGTTTCTACAGCTGATGTGATAACATATGTTAATTTACCTAGCACCTTTCTGTGTCCTGGGCATATGCAGAATACTTAACAGATGTGGCCTTACTTCGTCCTCTCCACAGTCCTGGGAGATAATAACTAACTTTATTCACTCCACACTGAGGCATCAAGGCCAAGAGTGGGACTCTTAGCAATCTGGTGCCATTCCCAGCCCCCAGCAATCCTGGTGGAGGCAGGAAGAGTGCATCAGGGAGCTAACTCTAGAGCCTGTGATCTTAATCACAGCCCTGCACAAAGCTGAGAATGTTGGCTCTTGGCAAATGGCAGGAAGCCTGGTGTCAGGGGCAAGTCAAGTTCCAGTGATCCGACTTTCCCACAGGGAATGGCATCGCTGCCTTCGAATCTGTGCCCACCGCTATCTACTGCTTCCTTCGCTGCATGGAGCCCGATCCCGAGATCCCTTCCACCTTCAATAGCCTCCAGAGGACTCTCATCTATTCCATCTCACTTGGTGGGGACACAGACACCATCGCCACCATGGCTGGGGCCATTGCTGGTGCTTATTATGGGATGGATCAGGTGCCAGAGAGCTGGCAGCAGAGCTGTGAGGGCTATGAGGAGACAGATGTCCTGGCTCAGAGCCTGCACCGAGTCTTCCAGAAGAGTCTGTGAGGCCATAGCTGCTGGGGCTCTGCCAGGTCTAGCAGGATCAAATACAGAAACCCAATGGTCCCTCAGGCTGGCTTCTCTAACACAGTCGTTCTGCAGTGCAGGCCAAGGGCACCCTTGGGAGGTCACTGGAACACTGAGCAAGAGACCAGTGCCTCCTTGGTGCTGGGGTTCTAGCTTGCTGCAGAGCCATAGTGCCCTCCACCCCCTAGTCCTAGTGAGACATAAGGGACCAGGGCAGGCTTTATTTTGAAGGCGTACTTGGTGACATTTTCCCTTTTTATCTAGGACATGGGATTTGGGGAGGTAGAAGTGATCTTCAGAAGTACCATTTCTTCCTGTTGGGTTTTAGCCAGTTTGGCAGACAGTCTGTCCTTGACTGGACAGGGACCCCAGCCACAGGTTATATGGATCAAGGGAGAGGCACCTGCATCCAGCCAATCTAGATCCACACCTGGCCCTTGGCTGTCATGGGATTTGTTGACAGCTTCCAGTGGAAGTTGCAGCAATAAACAGTTTTTTGTAAACCCTGGCAGTTTCCTGTTTCTACCCTGCTGGCTTGACCTTCTCAAGCCTAGTGCCTCTGTCTGGACTACATTCTAAGTGTTGGGACCCCAAGGTGATAAGCTACTATGTTGTTAGGGAAAGTCTTCAGTTCTTCCAGCCAGCCACACTGTTCAGCCAGGAAGGGCAGAGCAGTCATGCTGAGATAGCTTTTCCTGTTGGTGGTCACACATAGTAGCCCTGGCAGCTGGCCAGATGCTATTCCAGAGACAGTGAGCATCCCCAAATAGGACCCAGGCCAGGTGGGCTAGGAATGGGAACCCTGCAGACAGATGCCAAGAACACCTGTCACAGACCACTCACCTTTGATTGCATTCCCAAGTGGCTTGGTGGAATAAGTGCTATTTGCCTCTTTTGTATCTTGGGACCCAACTGAAGGCTTTGCCCTGCAAGGATGTTTTATACAGCATCCATTTTGAAAAAAAGGACAATTGAAAAGATAGTTCCACTCAAACCATGGAGATGTTCCAAGCTGGGCATGGTGGTACACACCTGTAATCCCAGTACTCAGAAGGCTGTGACAGGAGGATCACAAGTTTAAGATCAGCCTGGGCTACACAGGGAGACTCCCATCTCAAAAAGACAAAAACAAACAAAAAAACCCACGAGGGTATTTTGAGCATCCTTCTAGACTCAGTGAAGAAATAAACATACATAGCTCTGCAGCTGGTGTTTTCAGTCTGTTAGGCAGTTAGCCTTCAACCAAGACAGGGTTCTTTTGGGCTGGGAAGATCATAGGACATGGTCCTGTGGTTTCATGTCAGCTGACCTGCATCCCCAGTTAGGGCAGACGGGCATGGTGGATTGTGAACAGGTCCTTTGTGCCCAGGGCAGCACCCTCAGCCCTGTCTTCAGCATTAGCCCTGGCACAAGCCCTACCCTAAGCAGCAGAGTCATAATTTGTATCAGATGTTGAAACTTGGTCCTTGGGATCCTGAGCCAGCTGTCATGCTCCACTACCCCTGAGAGCTTGCAGGAATGTTCCAGTGAAGTTCCATCCTCCAGCTCAAGCCACTGGCCTCTGGTTTCTTAAAATGCCTCTTGGTGCAGCATGCATGCAAGGACCAGCATTTCTGATGTGGTGACAGGAGCCTGGGGTAGGAACCTGGTGAGGAAGAGAAGTCTAGACCCCTTACTTGCCATCTCTGCATCAATGCCAGTGTTGGCACAGAACTCTTTTATACAACAGGTTTTATTGAGGTCATGACAACATTCAATGGCGTAGCTTTTCTTTTAAAAAAAAAAAAAAAAAGTCCCATTTTCTTTGATTCCCCAGTGCATTTCTCCTGAATCTGTAACACGGGGCACATAAGTAGAGAACTAAATTTCCTGTACCAGCGTACAAATGAAATTACTAGTGGAAAACATTTAAACCTAATCTTTTAAGAAAAATCAGAATATAAAAAATGTAATGTAGTTTTCAGAGTAAAAACCTGACACTGTTTATCAAATCTTGTCAGTGAACACCTGCAACTCAAATCCCACGAACATTTCAGAAATGCCAGACGCCTTCCCAAAGGCTTCAGGCGTGCAATCCAGTGGAAGCTCAGCTCTGAAACTGCTTTTTTCTTGACTCCCTAGTGCCCTACTTGGTCCCTGGGGCTCCCACTGGAGCTGATTGATTTCTACCCATCAGAACCCATCCATCACACATCAAATTAGTGGCTCTGACCCGGGAAGGAGGAGGTTGAGCAAAGGACCCCAGTAGGGATGCTCTGAGACTCCTTGGTTTAATTCTCTTGGGTATGTTAGGATTCAAGCCCCAGCCCAGACCTTTTCTCCAAGTGTCACTTGGGCAGATCTAGGGTTGCATCTCTCCTTGGATGCTAACAGCCAGCTTTGTTTGGAGAAGTGGGCAGGGAGGGAGTTGGCATGTAGCCTGAGGAACCAAACCACAACTTGGCCAGTCATAAGTGAGTGGTCACCCTCCACCTTCAACATGGATAGTGGGCTGGAATCCGAGCAGTGCAACAAGATCACTTATTAAATGACCCAGGTTCCTACTTGGTACAGGGATATGGACTGACTTAGAAGGCTGCAAGCTGCGGGGGAAAGTGGCCATCCTTGCATGGGCAAGAAGTCTACCATCCCTGCCCCCCACCTCAGCTTGAACCATGGGCTGAAGGGCTGGGAGGTGAGCCAGCCTGCTTCCTGCATAAACATTCCAGTGGGACCTGTTAGTACCCTCTCTCAGAGCCTTTGCCTCCTGGGCCCTAACTTGCTTACAACAGGAAATTGGAAGCAGAGTGGGGGGTGGGGCATAAATGAGCCTTTCTAGTAGACCCACACCCACTGTGTGGTTCTTACTCAGGAAAAGCAAGTGACAGCCTTCTTTATCCCCAAGCTGTGTGCCCCCTGTTCAGAGAGTTGAGTGATAGGCTCTCTACCTTGGGGATGCTTGGGTTGGGGGTGGCAAGGATCCCCTAACAATTTGGAATGAGAAAACAAGTCCACTCCAGCAGGCAAAAGCAAAGAAGGGAAAGTACTCATATTTGTTGATCGTCAGTCGGACTGGCACCACGACCTGTGTACACACTTAAAGAAGTTTATCTTTCCAGCCGATGGCAGGCACCAGGGGCCTATGTGCTACCCTCATGCTAAAAAAAAAAAAAAAAAGCCAGCACCAGGGGGCAGCGAGAGACAATAGAAGAGCTGCTCATCTGCCCTAGGTCCATGCCCCTACTTCTCACAGACCACCTTCCCCCATGTCTACGGCCAGAGCTTTTCCAGGAGCCTGCAGAGGGTCACACAACTGTCCCAACCAGGACAAGCCTGATGCCATAGCATCGCTGTGCAGTTGTATTCCTGGCTGGGTGTCTACACTGACCACCTCCATGGTCCCCCTCTTTTCTCTTTCCCCTGAAGAGAAACGAAAAGTTCAGGGAACCCACTGTCATATGCCGGAGGTTCATGGAGAGCTGGAAGAGCCCCAACCTCGTTAGACTGTGAGGGAGCCATATCCCATTCCTTGAGCAGGCGACATCCAGGGTTGTCTTCCTTGGGTGAGTGGATGGATATGGAGCTCAGCCACCTTTTGGCTCCTTCAGGACCCAGAAGCATCCAGAACTTGTTTAGGGACTGGGCTGAGTGCCTGGAGGCCCTGCTGTAGACCAGGCAGGGCAGGAACAGGGGTGCAAACCCCACGCTGCCCAGGCATCTGGGGAAAGGAACTCAGGCCAGCCCTTTCAGAAACAATCTCAGCCTGCACATGAGAAAGCAAGTCAATCTCCTTGGGCTAAGGCCACAGCTGCCTCTGTTCAGCCTTTGGTTGTTTTCTTTAAATGGAGGTCTTCGTAACTGAAAAGGTCGCTCTACCACTAAAGAGGAGGAGGCCAGGGCAGCAGGGCCCCCCCGCAGGTTATGTAGGGCAGAGCAAGAATCCTGAGAAGGAGGAGTGGATGTACTTGGTGGAGTAGAGGCCGTTGGCCTGGTCCGAGGGCATCTGTACCCAGACCTGGTCATTGGGCTGCAGCTGGAGCACGGCCCCACCAGACGCCTGGTCCAGGTAGCCCTTCTTGTATTCATCATAGGTGTAGGTGGCTGGCACGTTGTTCTTATACAGGGCCACCCACACGTTGGTGCCCTTGACGTGCACATGGTAAGCAAAGTAGTAAACACCGCCCACAGGGCAGGTGAAGATGCCAGTGGCTGGGTTGTAGCCGCTGTGGCCATTGTAGAGAGTCCGGTCAAACTTAACTGGCATGCCCGAAGCAGGGAAGGGTGAGGTGAGCACTGCGGTGAAGGCTGGTGTGGCATGGCCAGAAAGCTCACCCAGCCCAAACTGTGGCTTTCCCCCCTTGCCCAGCACAGCGCCCTCCACACCACCATTGGGCAGGTGCAAACCTGCAATGCCAGTCTCATCGAAGGCCCCAGGGGCTCCAGGAGGGCCAGGAGGCCCAGGAGGCCCAGGAGGGCCTGTGAGTCCTGGGGAACCAGGGACCCCAGGGGGTCCTGTGGGCCCAGCAGAGCCAGGTTCCCCCACTTGCCCCTCTCCAGGGAGCCCTGGCAGGCCTGGTTCACCCTTCAGACCTGGAAGACCCTGGGGCCCAATAGGGCCAGCTGGACCCTGGAGTCCTGGGATTCCTGAAGGGCCTCTCAGCCCAGGCTGCCCAGGGAGCCCCAAGTCACCTTTCTGCCCTAGGGCTCCTGCTGCCCCTGGTCCTCCAGGGCGGCCTGTGAAACCTGGCTCACCCTTGGGCCCAGTTGGTCCAGGGGGCCCATGGGCCCCAGGAAGTCCCCTCTCACCTGGGAGTCCAGGTTTCCCAGCCAACCCACTAGGCCCTTGGTCCCCTCGAATGCCAGGCATTCCCGGGGGTCCTCCAGGTCCTGCTTCCCCCTTAGGCCCAGGGGGCCCACGTCTACCAGGGAGCCCTGCAGATCCAGGAAGTCCAGGGGGACCCCCAAGGCCCTGTGGACCCTGCTCCCCTGGCTCCCCATCCTCTCCTGGCTCACCCCTGTCCCCCAAGAGCCCTGGGATCCCAGCTGGTCCCCTGTCTCCCTTGGGGCCTGGCAGTCCTGGCATTCCATAACCAGTAGGGCCTATTAAGCCAGGGGGGCCCCGGGTCCCTGGCTCCCCTTTGGGACCTGCTGGGCCCTGTGGCCCTGGCACCCCTGCTACCCCTGGCACCCCCAAACCATCTATCCCAGGAGGTCCTTTTGGACCCACATCTCCTGGCTCTCCCCTAGGACCCGGAACTCCAGGAGGCCCAGACTCCCCCTTGTCTCCAGGGGACCCAGGTAGCCCATCTATGCCTGGTTTGCCCAAGCCAGCTGGACCAGGGAGACCAGGGGGTCCAGGGGCACCCCCCTGTCCAGGGGCTCCAGGAAGCCCTGGCTGGCCCACTCCATTATCTCCCTTAAGGCCTCGATCTCCTGGGGGTCCAGGCTCCCCCTGGGGCCCTGGTTCTCCTCTGAATCCTGGGGGACCTGGCACCCCTTGAGCACCTGGTTTTCCAGAGACAGTAATACCTGAGGGGCCAGGGAGGCCAGGGGGCCCTGGGGGTCCCCGGAGGCCTTGGTCCCCTTGTATCCCTGGTTCCCCCCGAAGCCCCGGCTGTCCTGGTGGTCCAACCTTGCCTGGGAGACCTGGGGGACCAGCCTTTCCCATCCGTGAGAAGCCAGGGGGCCGGCAGGGCCAGGTGCCCATGGAGCCCTGGCTTTCCAGTACCTGGTTTTCCTGGGAAGCCAGGAGGGCCAGGGGGGCCTCGAGGCCCAGGCTTCCCAGGGGGACCAGGCTCTCCTTTAAGGTCCATTGGCATCAGTGGTAGAGGCATTTCTGAAACAGAAAGAGAGAAGGGCGCAGTCAGGGCCTTGGACAGTGGGGACAGGGAACCCCACTTACCCACTTCCCACGGCAGTGTTGGGTACACTGGGTGGAACAGGTTCTGTACCTATTAATGAAAACCACTCTCCAAGCCAACCCTCTCTGCACACTTTCTCTCCCTCACAGGAGGGGAACTCAGGTGTTGTGCAGGGGCCATCTTGGGGACTGCAGGGTGTCCTCAACCAGAACACCAGCACCCAACCTATCCATACTGGGCCTTCATGAGCTTGGATAACTCAATCCTGCATGACCTAGGGCTGGAATGACCACCAGGGGGCACCAGCAGCCTGCCTTAGAGCCAGATGAAACAGCACCTCCCCCAACTTCCCCATGCATCTTCCTGCCCACCTGCATCTAAAAGGCCACCTGTGCTAGCCAGCCACAGGCTGCTTCCAGGCCTTGTGAGGCTGAGAGGTCCTGGAGCAGCCTCAGGAAGAAAAGCGGAGACAGGATGATCTTTGGTGGGGACTGAAGGGCTGTGATGAGGGCCTATGAGATTCTGAGGGAGGTCAGGGAGCTGGGGGGGGTCAGGAGCTGTTTGAGGCATAGTGGGGTAGGGAGGTTCTCACCCAGGTACTGGCCCTTGCCCTCACGGAAGGGTGGTCCCACAGGTCCTTTCTGCATGGGTTGCACATACTTCACTGGGGCATAACCTGCTGTCCCACCAGTACCACCTCCAGAAGACACCTGCGGCCCACACCCCAGCAGCAGCAGCAGCAGCAGCATATAAGGCAGGGATGTCACAGCCCCCTGCATGGCATCCATAGGAGTGCTGCAGAGAGAAACAGAGGGGAGTCATCAAGCACCAAGGTTTGGCACAAGGCCCGGGGGATTCCAGGAACAACAGAATTTCAATATTCACACAAATTCCCGAAGTCACAAGGGTCTGCAGGAGCTACCTCCTAAACCTTCCAAGACTGCCTGGCCAGCCTCTCCCACACCAGCTAGACACGCCTTCTAGAGCACCAGTCCAACCTCAGTGTGTCCCCTAAAACACTTTCAGAACAATTCCCACTACCATGTGCCAGGCCAGCCTTCTGCCAGGCACAGGCTGAGCTCTTCAGGGATCGAAACTCAATCATCACTACACTTGCATAAGGTATGACCCTCCCCCGTTTTCCAGGAAAAACAGGGTCCACTGAGGAAAGGTCTCCACTGAGCAGAACTGGGATTTGACTGGGTCCCTATGACTCTATGCGGTGATGTCCTTCTGGGCTTCCCACTGCCTTCAGGTTAAGTCCACGGTGACTAGCACAGCAGCCAAGCCCTTTTCTTCTGCTCTGTGCCTGGGTCTCTAGCCCCATCACCTACTGTGCCTTTCTCTCTCCCCACCACCTCCACCCATCACCCAGCACTCCTTACAGGTCCACACCCTCGGTGGCTTCACACTGCTGGGCCTTTGCACATATTGTTTTTCTCTGCCTCCAATGTTAATTTCACCTCCTACTAATCTTCAAGACCCAGGGGGCTGTCATCCTTTCCTCTAATGTCTTCTGACTGTTCACTTAAGCCACAACATTTAGCTGAGCTTGGAAACAAGGCCTTGGTGCAGAAGAGGCACAGGCTCTGTGTTCAGCCAGCCTGAATCTCCCATTTATCAGAGGGGAGCTTGGCAGGCAGGTTCCTTGTCTATAGAATGGGGATAACACATCCACACAAAACTTTGTATGTGAATGCTTATTATGGTGTCATCCATGATAGCCCAGAGTGAAGACTGCAAATATCCATCAATTGATGAATTGATGAACAAAATGTGCTGAAGCAATACAATGAACTACTTTTTAAAAACATTTTTAAAAAAGAGATAGGGTCTTGCTATGTCACCCAGGCTGGCTCTGAGCTCCTGGACTCAAGCAATCCTCCTGCCTCACACTCTGAGGCAATAAAAAGAAATGGAGGGGCTGGGGTATGGCTCAAAGGGTAGAGCATCTGCCTAGCAAATGTAAGACCCTAAGTTCAAAGCCCAGTACTGTGAAAGAAAAGAAAGGAAGGAAGGAAAAGTTTTACTGAAAAAATGCTGTAATTCATATAAATCCTGAAAACAGTATTTTAAGTGAAAGAAGCCAGTCACAAAGGGGGAAGAGGGTGGGGGAGGGGGGCAGGGGGGAGAAATGACCCAAACAATGTATGCACATGTGAATAAAAGAATGAAAAAAAAAAGAAGCCAGTCACAAAATCATATTATATGATTCAGTTTCTATTAAATGCCCAGAACAGGTGAATTCATAGAGACAGGAAGTACATTAGGGGTTGCAGAGGGCTGGGGGAGAGGGGATGGGGAGTGACTGCTCCTTGGTACAGGATTTCTTATAAAGGGGATGAAATGTTCTAAAACTGAGTGTGCAAATAGTTGCTCAACTCTGTGAATACAGTAAAAAAACTGCACTGAACATTTAAATGGGCCAATTGCATGATATGTGAATTAGACCTTGCTGAAGCTGTTATTTTTAAAAAGTGGGTTAACCTGCTTCTCAGGGCCACTATGATGAGAGAAACCTTGCAAGGCTCAGAACTGGCACCCATCCTTCAGTGAAGGATTTTTCACACCCAAGCAAAGTCCCACTTCCATCACATCCCTGCCCTAGGCTCCCCTCACCCCAACCAGAGCCCTCTCTGCATCTGTGGGGAGCAAAGCTCTCCCCAGTGAGGGGCTGGGGCTGGGTGTTGCAGCTCTGTGTCCCTCCCTGCTCAGAATAGCACAGAGCTTTGCAGGAATAATGCAGGGCTAAGAGGAAGGTCAGTGAAGCCACCACCTAGCTCCTGGGTTCAACTCCCAACTCCACCACCAACCAACTCTCTAACCTCAGCATGACAGTAACACCTACCACTTACGGGGCCCCTGTGTACTAGGCCTGAACTCAGAGCTTTCAAGGCCTCATCTCACACTAATACTCTCAAGAAACCACCCAGGTCATGCAATGACTAGCCAGAATGTTCTGCTTGGTGGATGAGTGAGGAATCAAGGGCAGGGGCAGAGTATGCAGCAGGAAGTGGAAGGAGCACAGGGAATGACTTCTGGCCTTGGTAGGCCAGGCCAAGGTCATAGTACTACCACAAGGGGACCCAGACAGACCTGGCTCTGGGGAAGCCCACCCTGCTTCTCACATTAGGGGTGGGGGATGAGAGAGGTGTGGCCAGGAAAGTGCTTAGACAAACAGGACACCAAAGGAAGAGCCTAGAAGCTAGCCAGGGGCAGGGCAACCTGCCCACCTTTCATTCCTCCATGGCAATGAGAGTCCTGAAACCCTACTTGACCCACCCCCTATGGCTCCTGACACTTGCCCATCCCATCCCAGCACTTTCTACCCCCACTGTATGTGTGTGCAAGGGAGACTGAGACAGAGACAGAGACAAAGACAGGCAGAGAGAGATCCCCTCTCCAAGGTTAGGGACCAAGTCTCATGCCAGGCCCCCAGAACAGAGGTTGTGCAGAGGGACTGTGAACAGGAGGACAACCGGAAGGCCAGATGTCAGGCACTGCCTACAAGTTTGATACTCAAAGACAATTCACTTCCCACAGCGTCCAGGGAAAGAGGTACTATACTAATAAGGGTCCCCATTTTACACCACAATGTACCCCCACCTAGCACAACAATTTTAAAAAGGGTCCCCATTTTACAGATGAGGAAATGGGCTCAGGGAAGCACAAGGTCTGGCAGGGGCTGGGGGGAGCCAGGAACAACGGAGCAGAGGTCTGTGACCACTGCTCTAGAGCAGGGAAAAGAGTGCGACAGGGAGCAAAAGCTGGCGGGGAGCGGCAGGAGCTGAAAGGGGAGGCTCTATTCCAGCTCCGGGCGCCTGTGGGTTTGGAGGGAGGGTCGCTGTGGCTCTTGGTTGGAGGGGAAGCTGGTATGTGCCAGTGTAGGCACAGGGCTGGGAGCAGGAATGAGCTGGGGCAGAGAGAGAGTGTGCTGAGCCTGTTCAAGAGGCTGGAGAAGGATGCCTGGTAGGAAAGATCTGTCACCTGCAATCCCAGCACCTCAGAGCCCATGTCACTACCCTACCTTCTGCACCACACAAACACCATGCCACACTCCCCTGCATGTCCCTCTGGGCTTCTGCACCTTGGTCACCCTCATTTATTCTTGCACATTGGAAAGCCCATTGGCTGCCTCTACTGATGCTTATGGGTCCACTCCATGCCCAGCACAGGGCCTGGCTGGCACACACTGATGCTCCAAAATGTCTGACAAGTGCAATTCATCATCAGATTTAAAGAACACACCTGGGCTGGAGCCCACGTCCCTAGCAAGCTCAAAGGCCTGAGTTCAAATTCTAGGACCTTCCAAAACACACACACACCCCAACAATTCACTTAGACCTTTCCTCAGACTTGGCATAGCTATGAGTCTCACTTGCTCAGGGAGTCCTCTCCCCAGCCAGAAAGGCTCACCTAAGTTAGAATGGGGAGAACTAAGTTAGAGAGGGTATGTTCAGATGGCCTGAACCAAAGAGCTTCAGTAAGAACAGCATGCTCTGAGAAGAGGAGCAAAGGGGAGAATAATTGATCTGTTCCTGGTTCTCACAGTGGGGATCAGTGGCCAAGCAGAGAGTCAAGGGGAGGGTCCTGAGGCTCAAGCCAGCTCTGCCCATGACTGGCTGTGTGACTTTGGGGAAGCCATCATCCTCTCTGGTGACCTCTTTGGGAGGTGAAGACAGTGAGAGGACAGGACTAGCAGAAGCAGAGCCCGCTGAGGTGGGACACATTCAGGAGACGCTGATTCAGGGGATTGAGCAGTGGCGACGGCGGGGTAGACTTGGTGTTTGGACAGCTGCAAGTCCTTAACGGGATTTCCCCCCTTTTCAACAAATCCCCGTAAAACAGCATTTCATCCAAGTCAGCGTTTTGTGGCAGCCTGGCCTCCTCCCAGCGAGGCCAAGGAGACTGGCTGGGATCGGGGAGTGTTCCAGGGTCTCTAAGACCTGGGGAGGATGGGCCCAGCAGGAGGAAGTGAATGAGGCAGACCTCTCCCCTGGAAAAAGGTATTCAGGGACCCTTCCTGCCAGCTGCATCTCAAAGGAGCCTGTCCCAGCAACTAATAATAGAGGAGAACCAGGTAACCCCATTTGAAATTGAAAGCCCTGCTATCCCCATCCATGTCACAGATGCTATCACATCAGAGGTCTAGACAAAAGGGAACAGACAGAGGAAACCCTGGGCCCCAGGCCACCACTCAGGCTCCAGTGCAGCCCCTAGGGTGGGTGGTGGATGGAACCCAGGCCCCTGCCGCCACCTCACACACAGGCAGCTCAGCCGAGCAGTGGGGAGGAGCAGGCGGCCTGGCCGGCCAAACCACAGGTATGTTATGAGACGCTTCCTGTTGTGGAGACATTTCTACAGATCCGTGGCCGCCTGCTGCCCAGTGCCTGGGCCCACTCCCCAGCCTCACTCCTTGGCCTCCTCTGCTCTCCCTAGTATCTGGCCCTGACTCTGCTCTCTGGGTCCCTATTTCTAGTCACCTGGCCAGGTGAGCAGTGACTCTGGCTCAGGCTCTCCCTATTGGGGCCAGCCCTCGTGGTGCTAAGGTCCTCCTCTCAGCATAGTTACTCGCCAAGTGAGGTGATCTTGGACAAGTGACTTTGCTACTCTGTGCCTCAGTGTCCTCTGTGAAAGGGTAGCTGAGATCACCTGAGCCACCAACCCTTCCAGGTGTGCTGCCCTGTCCTGCTCCCTGATAGCCAAGAAGTTAGTTCCCCCTGCTACAAACTCTCCTGACGCAAAGTGACATCTGTCCTCCATTCCTCCAGACAGGTGA